GGCTCGTCCCCAGGTTGCGGATCGGGGAGCGCCTTCCTTGTGTAGGTAACTGTGAATAAGTCTCGACCGTTCGTAGGCGAGATGAATAAGCAGTCACGGACAATCAGCGGCACCTTCCCAGAGCGTTGGGGGTTCTGGGCTGGTCACCTGGTTCCTCATTAAATACCACAAGAGCTCGCAAGACGCTGTGTCAAAGCCAATGTGACAAGGTATAGGGTCACTGACCGCTCACTTCTGGTCACAGAAGTGAGTACTTAACTGCGGTTTGATGAATAAGCTCGATGATCACCAGCTTCCATGGAGACGTATGAGCCACCCGGCTGTTAACGGCATTCGTGCTTCACGGCGAGCTCGGTAGTCCTTGCTGCTTCACTGGGGCTCTTTGGGCGCCCTTAGTAGTTTGCCTCTAATCGAAAGCCGTTCACCTAAAGAGGCGGCTCCCAACGGTCGCGGTATACGTCAATCACCTCGCTGCCTTGCGGGTTAGGTCTTTATGACCCAAGGCTCCGGGTGGGGTCCACTAAGTCAACCCTCTTCCTCGGCCTGGGCAACCGGGAAGTACTATGCCCACCCAACCTATGGATCCCTGTCTCAACAATCCTTCGCTCACTGTCTCCGCTCTCGCTCTATCTGCTCTCACTCACTCGAACTGCTCTCATCGGCCGAGGTGCTTGCGGCTGAACCTGTAAAACCAACTTTTACTGCACCACCGTTCGGTCACTTTATTCCACGTTTGTTCAACCCCCATCCTTGGTCTTCCTCCTCCGTTTTCGAATTAACCACATCGTGCCGCCTTGGGCAAACCTTCTCGCCATACTGGTCAGGTCCTAAGTCGTGTTGACAAACCATTTCTAGCACCACGTTCCCAATTCAAGCTGGCAACCTTCAACGTTCGGACCCTGATGCAGACTGAATCACAGGCAGCCCTTGCTCGAACTCTAGAAAATACAGCTATTGATGTCTGCTGTCTCAGCGAGACCCGTTTACAGGATTCTAGCTCGACGCTGCGACTAGTTTCATCGTCTGTGAATTCCACTGGCATCTTTGCCTCTATCTGGAGACTCAGCCGTCGAAGCCGCTGGTTATGCTGGCCCGGGGATTGCGTTAAGCACACATGCTGAGGCTGGATCCCTGTTAACAGTCGACTATGCACGATCCGACTTAAAACTTTAGTGGGACTGTCCAGACGCAAAACCAGCAGACGCTGTCTATACATTGTCGCCGCGCACGCTCCCACAGCTTGTAGCCCAGAGTCATTTTACGATGAATTCTATGGTCAACTGGCCGACCTACTCCGTACAAAGCGCCGTAGCAACATTCGGGTACTCGCGGAGGACTTGAATCCGCAGGTCGGTAGACTAGAACTCGAGGAAGGTGTACCCGGTGGTCATGGCACTCGGCCATGGCACTCGCAGAACTGACAACGGTGATCGACTACTTCAGCTCTGCGCCGATCCCGACCTCTTTCTGTCGAGCACTAGCTTTCGGGGATCCTGGCACCAACGCGCTACCTGGAGACCACCATCACCTGACCAGCCCTGGACACAAATTGACCACAGTGCCATTAGCTATCGCTGGCGTGGTAGCATACAGGATTGCAAATCAATCTAGAGTAACTATCTCAGGTTGGATCACGCGCTGGTGTGTGCCGAGTTTGCGTTACTTTTTGGTGACCCAACAGCGTCGCCAGGAACGGCTTTACGTAGCTAAGCTTTCTGCGCCAAACGTTCTCCGCGCATTTTAGGATGACTTGGCTTCGCAGCTAAAGACTGCCTCATGCACAGACATTGAAACACACTGGACACGCATCCGCGGCGCCATGTACAACCCTACAACCCTAATCTATGGCTTCACCAGTAGTCCTTTCAAGCACGGGATCTCTGCAGGATCCCTCCAACTGCTCGAAGCCCGTCGAGCAATTCCTGCTAGGGTTAAACATCACTCACTATGCAAGGTTACTAACGCTGAGCTCAAACACCTTCTCCGGAAAGATTGCGGGGCCTGGTGAACGCAGCGCCTCATTGAGATGGATCAAGCGGCCACCTCGGGGAATTTCTGTAACCTTTTCCTCCTGATCCGACTTACTGGTGGCAAAAGACCGACTGTAAGCGAAGTTTTATGCGATACCAGTGAGGAGCCAATTCGCTGTCAAAAACCCCGACTCGCGCACTTTAAGCAGCAGTTTACTTGGCCAGTAGCACGAATAAGCTCCCATTCTGGAGCTCAGCGCGCTCTCTGGTGTGTAGCCACTTCACCACCATCCCAAGCTGAGGTTGCCCACGACCTTCGCCACATAAACCGCTACAAAGCCCCCGGCCCAAATGAACTCCCTCCGACTCTTTTCAAAGATGGCGGCCCATCACTTGTTCAAAGGTTAACTCCTCCCCTCCAAGACATTCGGGTAACTGAAGTCATCCCATCTGATGGAAGCCTAGCGGATATCGTGCCCGCCTTCAAAATGGGTATACAAACTGACTGCACCGAGCACAGAGGGATTCGCTTCATCTATGTTGCTTCCTAGGTTCTCGCAGCTCTGTTTCTAAGGGGACTCAGCCTGGCACGCGAACAGAGTATACGTGAAAAGCAAGCTGGGTTCCTTTCAGGTCGGGGTTGCAACGGCCACACCTTTACACTCCGCCAAATACTCGAGCGTCCTCAAACATTTGGCCAGCCAACGTTTGTTGTCTCCTTAGACATACGAGTCGCGTTGAACTCAGTCGACAGAGCTGCTCTCTGGAATTGTCTACTGAGAATCGGAGTGCCCGAGAAGTATGTCATCTTACTTCAAGCCATCTGCTCTCAAACTTCGGGCCGAGTGCGGGTGTACGATGGACATTGTCCTTCTTTGGTATCACCAGTGGCGTGAGACAGGGTTGCCCAGCATCCTCCTTCTTATTCAAGTTCGCTATAGAGGAAAGCTTGAAGAGTGCTCTGGAGAACTGCGAACCCAGCGGCGTCGAGCTGCTTCCGGGTGACCGCCTTTGGGATTTAGAGTATGCAGACGACATCGCCGTAATCTGCGCTTTCTTACAGGCCGCCTAAAATGTTCTGTGTAGGTTGGAGATGCCTGTTTTTCAGTTTGGAATGATCATCCCACCATCAAAATGCAAGGTTTTCCTGCACTACTGGCTAGGAGCTGCTCCTGACCCTACCCTTCTAGGTCATTCATTGAAAGTAGTGGACAAGTTCGTTTACCTCAGAATCAGCCTCATCGCTAATGCTTTAACGGATGAGGTCTCTTTGCGCGTCTCCAAAGTTCGGGTTGCTTTTGCCCATCTAGGCCATCTCTGGTGTCGAGGTGATTTGAGTCTAGCTCTGAAGCGCCGAGTTTACAATGTCACAGTGAGAGCGGTTCTCCTCTATGGCTGTTCGCGCGAATGATGTTGAGAGGCTCTGTTTTTGATCACCGCTGCCTTCGGAGCATTGCGATGGTAACATCACACTAAGAAGGAAGATATTCGACGAAGGATTTCATATCAGACAGACTTTGCCGGTCACTGAGCAGTATAATTTCTCTGCGCAGACTTCAGTGGCTTGGGCACGTTCTCCGCATGCCTACTCATCGCTTACCTCGCCATGCCCTCTTCGCGCAAGCAGGAGTCAACTGGAAGGGAAACCAAGGTGACCAATGTATGACTTGGGCCAGGAACATTAAGGAGCTAACGTCAAAATTAGCCGTTGTCTGGCGCTGTCGGCTTCCTAACTTGAGTGTGAAGGACAAGGAACACGTGCGACTGGAAACGCTCTTGGATATGGCAAAAAATCGTGCAGGATGGTGGACTTGTTGTGACTTACTATTCCAATGAACCGTGGTTTCCCCTCTCTATCTTCGTATGTTTATTTATTTTATATAGGTTGTGGCACTATGCAAATTGTACTATTGGGCTTCTTGTATACCATATATATATATATATATATATATATATATATATATATATATATATATATATATATATATATATATATATATATAGTATCATCGATTGTTCTATACCAAGTAGGAAAGACAGAATATCTGTCTAAGCTGAGGATTGAAGAATTTACTGTTACTCTGAATGACCAACAACCATTTGCACCGTATTTCACACATGTGCATGCCTTCTTCCCAGCAATCCCCTTAATTTTCCCATTTCAGTCACTCGCCGCCTTTACCTCAGTGTCCCGAGATATCATCGATTTCATCGATACTACTGTGCACTTCACCCTGAACCGGTTGTGTGGCCTTCACGCGCACATTCTGCCCTCATTCATGGCGGAAATTTCACCACCGCCCCGGGCCGCAAACGTAGTTGCTACGCCACTAGTGAGAAGCCACCCTCACTCCTACCCCCAACCTGGAGGACCAGAAGGCTGTATTGTCTGGCGTGTGATCATTAGGAAATCTGGTATGAGTGACTCTGAAGATGAAGCAAACACCACCCAGCACGGCTCAATTGATCGCTGAGGCACGCAGACCATCCCACCACGGTAAGGTCCAGACACATTGCGACGGATGGCAGTCTAGGGACATATATGAAGCCAATAAAATCCATGGATTAGGATAGGTGTAGTTATCGCTTGCATAAAACCGAGCACAGCACAGCAATCCATGGTTTTGTCAGTAAGCGCAATACTCCCCGGTTGCCCAAGAAGAAGTAGGGAGTTCTCCTAAGGGAGACCACTCCGAATCTTTTGATAGCTAGCCTAAATGCGTCAGCAAGAGGATTGTACCCATTGGAAACCGGTGAACAATTGTTCGATTCATAAGCCTTTTACTTGATCAGTTGCCAAAAGGGTCCAATCCTCACCGTGAATTCAACAGAATCCTGCTGTAATATAACGCTTCACCAAAGTGGAGTAAGGAGCAGTGATCACTTACTTTTGACTCACAAGTGGTTAAATTTACGTTGTACACCAATAAAAAGGTGGCTCGTCGAATTCACAATGCATGTTCCTCGTTCTAGTACACGCACTACCAGCACCAGAAATTCACCGACCAATCAGGACTGAGGGGACAAATCGAACTGGCAATGGCATTTTATCGATATGGAAGCCAATTGAAACGAGGCACGTGACGCGCAACCTTGATACTGTATGCGGCTCTTCCATCTCCATGCAAGTTCAGTAGCTGACCGTGTCAGTTGCAATAATGGTAAGTTTCTGGACTATATTAGCCTTAGCTCCCTATGATAAAACACATTGACATAGCATTTAAATATTATTGTAGCATGAAATCATAACTATTCATCTGGGGCAAGCTGGTTTGCAACTCGGAAATGCGTGTTGGGAATTATTTTGTTTGGAGCATGGAATCAAACCGGACGGGCGAATGAAGGGAAGAGCCCCGGATGAATTACACACAACTTTTTTCCACGAAACTCATAAAGGCAAATTTATTCCGCGGTCTGTATATGTGGATCTTGAACCAACAGTCGGAGGTTAGCTATTCTATTTTGCATGAATATTCGCAAATGTAAATTGTACGTGCTGATATTTATCTAAGTAAACTCTTGGTGCTAGCTCTAATGGACAGAAAGACTGGTGAAGAACGCTTCTGGCACTTAGGACCGCAGCAGTTGAAAAAGGCATCAGCAGTACACCGGTAGGCTGGACTGACGCTTCGCTGCAGTGCAGCCACCAACAGGCACGCGTGGGATAAGAATACTCCGACGGTCGCCCCGTACCCTATGCAGGCTGGAACCCACGGACGCAGGAATAGAAAGATGGCCTGTGATCCTTAAGGCTACAGGCCAAAAGATTTGTTAAGTGGGCTGGATGATGTTCAACTAAACAACCAGTCACCGCAGGTATACCATAACCCACCGCTTAGAGTTATTCCCTTCTCGTAGTTTAAATTGTGATTACCTGCCCAGCAGAGACTCGCATTTGCATCTCAGCTAGGAGCTGCCGTCACTGACCATCCTCGCTAAACTGAGGTTAATCGGATCCACCGAGCGTCCTGAACTGGACGCTTGTGTTATTTACTAACAACGCGGTGCTGCCTTTCATAAAGCAAAGTTTAATACTTGTTGACACATGAAATGATCATGCAGTAGAGATCGGAAATTGCAGCGAAATAACTCACTTCGTAGAACCACATTAGGCAAACCACTCAACTATTGCTGACTTGGTCCTCTAGTCAGCTGATTTGGCCACGTCTTTCTTAAACATGCGCAATCTGGCAGCATGCTAGGTTCGTAGGTTGATCAAACATACCAGATCCGTATCCAGAAAAGGGACAAAAAAGAAAAACGGCGTGTGAATAACCATAAACAACAATCTTTCTATTTTACAGAAGTTGTAATTGTCGTATTAGTAGGCAAATGATTTCACGTATTTTGCTAACTGCGACTACTCTTAGAATGCATATATATATATATATATATATATATATATATATACTATCAGCAGTCTATAAGATAGACATAGAACCAGCGAAAACCATGAAACGGAAGTAATAAATACAGAGACCACTAGGAAAAGCCTGAAAGTTGCGAAAGCGTTATTTTGGATTTTCGTTTCTTTTTTGTTTTATTTTACACTGTTTTCTTCTTTTCTCTGTTTAATTTTGTGGTGTAAAGCAAGCAAATCAAGGCAGACATTTGTACACATTTTCCATTGAGCCCGGTTCTGTGCCATCTCCGCAATGGTTTCCAGCCAGCGGTGTTCTTCTTGTTTGATCCCTTAGCCCGGAAGACACACGGGACCTACGACAGCCAAGCTGGAAATCAGCGCTTTAATCGCTTGTCGCCACGTGATAGACTGACCCCCACACGATTTCTTCCAGCCTGGTCCTATACAAGCGAAGAGAGCGCGTCGGGGTAGCCGGTCGCATGGCATGCGTAAAACGTGGCCCAGCCACCTCAGTTGGCGTAGTGGTACCAGTCTGTCAAGTGGAAGTCCCATGTTACCCAAGATGCGAGGTCTAACATCATTGTTGCGTACGTGGTAGATCCACCACACTCGAGCTATTCTCCACAGACATCCATTGTCAAAGGCCGAAATCCGACGCAAGTCATTCACACGAATCGGTCAGGACTCACACCCATACAGCAGCACCGCGGGAACACAGGCATTGTAGACCCTGCCCTTTACCAGTAGTGAAACCTCGCGGCGTCGCCACAGGTGCCTCAAGTTGACGAATGCCGAATGGGCTTTGGCAATACGGAGGGAAATCGCTTTTCAAACAAAGTTGTCCACTTGTTCAAGCTGCGTACCTCGAAGTGTAAGCAGTACGGCAGGTGGATACCAATCCAGGACCAGGACTTTGCATTTCGTGGGGGCAAAGGTCATTCTATATTATGTTGCTTCAATACCCAAGCGGTTTATAACGGCTTGTGTGCTCTGTGCGTCATCACCAAGCAAGGCAATATCCAGCATAATCTAAATCGGTCACACGGTTGTCTGGAAGAAGCTCTACACCAAAACCCTGAAAGCCCTAGAGAGCGTTTAAAAGGATATCCTTGGTCGCAAAATTGAAGAGAAACGGGGACATGGGGAAACCCTTTCCTACACCGCTAGTGACGACAAAAGTTGAAGAGAGCTTCCCAAAAGCCCTTACTTTATCTGAGATTTTGCAACATAATGCACGCAGGATGGCGATATGCTTTTCGGGTAGTCCATTCTTGTGTAGGCAACGCCATAAAGCTGGCCGGTCAGCAAAGTCGAAAGTGGCTCGGTTGTCCATAAAAACAACGATAGTGGACTGGCGGTGAAGATGGTGTGGTTCAAGGAGTTGGCGGAGCGTAAACAAGTGGTATGTACACTCTCGACCGGGGCGGAAACCAGCCTGTTCTTCACGGGAGTGCAATTCTCGAATCGGGGTTAGTCTGCGGAGTAGAATGGATGTTAACAGCTTGGAGGACATTAGACTGATTCCTCGGTGGTTAGCGCATAAGGTACGGACACCTTTCTTGAAGATCGGGACGATAATTGACTCGCCCCAAGCGGATAGAATTGTTTCTTCTCACCAGATCTTAGAGAACAGAGTTGTTAGCTGATTGACAATTACCTTGCCCTCGAACTTGAACAGTTCAGGAGGAAGTCCGTCTAGGTCAGCAGACTTGAATCGCTTCAAGTGTCGGAGCTCAAGGCAGACCTCAGCTTCTCTGCGTGGTTCCAATGAGACATTCCAAGGCGCGCAAATAGGTATGCTCAATAGACTCGGCGGTGGAGGGGCCAGCTGAATTGAGTGCGGAAGTGTTCAGCCCAGCGGTCCATACGCTTGTGTAAATTGCTTATCTGCGTTCCGTCAACCTCGCAAATGACCTCACTGACATCAGGTATTTTGTGACTAGTAGCCCGAATGACCTGGAAGAGCTTGCGGAAGTTTCCAGAGAGGACTGCCGTTTCCATCTCTGAGGCGCGCTAGGACCACCTGGTTTCATGATCCACACACAGACTTTGCTTAAGTTGTTGGATGAGAATGCGTGGCAATGCACTGATATTTGAATCGGCCGGGATAGCTTTACAACGATCAGACAGTTCCTGTGAGTGTGCGGAAATCCAGCCCCTCAGAGGGCGCCGTGGGATTCGACAGATTGAATGACTGGAAGTTAGCATCGCTTCACGCAAGAAACTCCAATGATTTTCAATGTCTTGAGGTGGAGCCCCAATGAATGCATGCGATAAGGAAGCTTGATAACTTGATCGAGTAGAGAGGTCAGCTAACTTGTCGGTGTCGAGCGTATGGAGCTTCCGCTTTGAGGAGCCGCCGAAGCGTATGCAGATATCCGCGCAGACTAAAGCCTGAGCTGAATTGAGGTACGTAGACCAAATCGATCTACAACCCCGGACGCTGCCTTGCCATCTAAAGCTGATTGCAATGTGATCTATTTGTGACCACTCTAGCCTCGGTGCAGCAGGACGCCAGGTGGCGGCGCTTCTTCTGGTATGCCCAAAGTTAGTACTTGCGAGAAACAGACGGTGGTCTGTGCATAACGTAAGAAGTCTATCACCGTTGTCAGAACGGCTTTCATCAAGCGCGTGACTACCACCAAGATGACATTCGCACGGAAGCAGGCGACCTATTCGTGCATTGAGATCTACGGCAAGCAGGATGACATCCGACTTTTCGGCCTTGTTCAAAAAGTTGTGGAGACCACGATAAAAATCATCCTTAACCGATACACAGCTGCAGTCGGTTGGAGCGTAGGCAGAAACGACAAACCAATTGCGCCTCTCGTCGCGATATCTGTTGATTCAACATGAGCCTTGAAGCCGAACCGCACACAGCCGGCTGTCCATTGGAAATCAGTCGAGTAATGCAGCCTCTGCTTTTTCACTCAATATGATGCCGACACCAGCTAAGTCTTCTGTTGCTGCCTCCATGTCACTAGACAGACGTAGGTAATATGTGATCTCAAGAGCAGCTGGGAATGACAATTTAACCAAGTTGTTCGGATCCTGTAGTCGAGTCTCTGAAAGGCAACAAACATCGATAGTGTGAGACTCTAAAGTGCGCGCCAGGCCAGCCTGTTGTCCAATCTGTAGGAGGGTCCAAACACTGAACGCTGCCAGACGGAATGAATTACGGAGTCGAATGATAGCTGCTGCTCGGATGATTTGGATACCAGCGAGACGGGCATTGGAAGTCGATTCAACAGGTTGTAGATTATCAACAAGAGAAAAGTTGACGTGTGATGGAGAAGCACGAGTAGCAGCGAAAGTAGTAGCATAGGTAAGCGACGTAGTAGTAGGTGCGAAATCCATGGTTTTCACAGAGGGCACGATACTACCCGGTTGCCCAAGCCAAAGTAGGAAGTTGTCTTAAGGGAATCCATCCCGAGCCTTTGGCTCAATAGCCCACCCGCAACTCAGAGGAGCGAAGTCGGATTCGCACCCCTTTCGAGTCAATGACTGATGGCTCAGTTCATACGCCTTTCGTTTGGTGAGTAGCCAAACAGGGGCGCCATCTTCCCCACGATTTCAACAGTAAGTTGCTGGGATACAATCCTTCACCAAAGTAAAACAAGGGACAGTGACTTTATTTAGTGGCCAGTCACATCCGCCACATCGCAGTGTCGTTAAACGGACACACGGGCTTTTTATAGGGAGGACGCTTGCAGGCGAAAACCCACCACGTCCTGGAATACTGCCACCGAACCATTCGCTGGACCTAAATAATCCCGAACCATCCAGCTGGCACCACGAGGTTATTGGCGCTATATATATATATATATATATATCCACCTGCTGATGTGAAATAACATCGAAACGCGTCGTGGTTGTGCAGTGTTTTCGGGCGGGCAGCACGCAGTTTCCACCAACCTTAAAGTAAGTTAAACATACACGTAGCTATAAACTCATAGAACGGAGAGTGGCATACAAAATCAGGAGGGCATTCATGGCACCTTTTCTTTGCTAGCATGTCATCCGTTTGCATCACTTAATCCTTTCGTCTTAGTGAATGACTATGAAGGAAGTAAATCCAGCTGTC